AAAGGTAGAGCTCCCTCTGGGCCACTGAAGTGCTTCAAAACAGATTCATAAGACAGTTTGCTAAAAGTATGTTTAACTTGAATCAGAAATATATACAACTTGACAGTAGTTTGTCAAGTTTTGCTTCCTCTTAAAAGCTAATTTATGATGTCTAGCAGGTATCCTTTTTAGAGATAAAATTAGCTGTGAATCTGTTGCTATTAAAAAGATAATTGTCTTCCAAATGAGTTGATGATCATTCTCCTAAATTTATAAGGTACAACTCGCTGATGGAAATAATTTATTCTTGGAACTCCACAGTCATCTCTTGCCAAAAGAAAATCTGTTTATTTATTTGTTTTGGTCTGTATGTTTTTTCTCCCTTTACATCACACAAGATGTTTTTCTCCTCCCAGCCTCCAAAAACCTATTGCTAAATATTGTCTTTCTTGAACGCTCGGGTTTCTGTAGGAAAAAAAAAAAAAAAAAAACGTTTCAAGAAACTGTCTTCACGCCAGCAATAAACTTTTTTCTTTGTCCTTTTCTTTGAACAGATTTGATCTACTTCCATTGCAAGAGATGTCTCTTAGCTAGGTTCTCTTTAGAAAATTTACTCTTTCTACTAATTTACAGAGACAGCTTTGATGACAAATACTTTATTTAGAACATTCATCTTACAAACACAGAAAAAAGCCCATGTTAGGATGTAAATCTTTTTCTTACTAAAGAGCTTATTAAAGGCAATAATATTTGTGTTTATATTTTAAACATTTGATATATATTTGCCTGCTAGGATTGAAGCATAAGCTCCAAATGTTAACCGCTCCAAAGAAATGCAGTTTCAACAAATAACCTGAAATTGGCTCTGTTACATCTAGTTCGATTTACAGGAATTTAAATAATAATGGCCTGAAATGCATGTTACATTAACTCTGCTGATCTGTAACATCTTAAGCAAACAATTTAGGTAGAAAAGACATTTGATAAAAATAATTGGTTCAGGCAAAATAGAACTCACATTCTTCCACCAGATAATAATTCAGCGGCTATTCTAACTTCAGTAGTGCTTTATTAGACACAGTTTTCATTCTGCTTAAAGACGTAAGATAAAAGACACATTCTTTATCTTTAAACAATTATTTTAAAATAAGTAAACAGCGGGAATGGAATAAAACTTCCCTATCAGATTTACTTGTTGTTATTCAATTTCTCAAAAATTTTCTTCGGGGATAGGAGTGTCATATGTTTAGTTTCAGGACAAAGGCACCTTTTAAAATGAAGAGCTTAAAGAAAATCTTTAAAGAAATCTGCTTACTAGACAGTAGGCTAACTAAGCTTTTGGTTGTAAAATTATCTAGATTACAAAACCACGGGAAAAAAAAACTAACATTTAACAAACTTTAAAACTAATGTAAGGCTAATTTTTAATAAAAAGCATCTTTTAAAAATAATAAAAGCAGTTATGAACAACTCCTGGAATTAACTTTGGCTAACATGTCTAGAAGGCACATTGTTTTACTATTCTTCTATGATTTTCTTAAGTTGGGAGTTAAGAAAAATTATGTAACTTCGGAATGTTTCCAGCTTAAGGAAACATTTTTTTATGCAGGATGATATGCAGTTAAAACAAGACAAGACAAAATCTTAGAGTCAAACAACATTAACTCATTTAGCGATTATGTATTATTGTTACTATTATATTGTTTGATAAATGACCAAGCAATTAAATAATTCAAATAATTCAGATTTCTAGCTGTGTTATAAAACATTTTTAATAATTTAGCAATTGATTATAAACTCCTTGCATGTGATTCATGAATATTCCTTTTTATATCTTGAGACAAGCATTTATATTTTACAGTTTATCAATTGCTTTTAGCTGCATGTTGTATTAAGGTAAAAACAATTTATTGTAAGCCAGTTGAGTTTGTTTAAGAGAGTGTTTACATTTGATGTTGCTTTTTAATAGAAAGGAATAAAGTTGCTAAACTCAATACAAGGCAATTGTTAATTTGTTAAAGTTGCAAATATTTTGTTAAAATATTTTGGCAATAAAAACAATTTCATAGATATTCATAAATCTTCACTTTATAAGTTTCTATCCTATATACTTTTTAATTGCTTTAAATATATAAGTGTATTATTTATGTTTAAAGGAATGAGCGAATTAGAATTCTAATTCACTCAAAGGAAAGAGAGTTTACATTTTTCGCCAGGATAATTAACTATTTGCTTGGCTTCAATTTATCTGTCTTGTACATACAGTGATTTGACAGAACTAACGAGTGAACACTAACCAAAGCTAGAATCAACGGGGAGAATAGTCAAGAAGGAAAAAAGGAAGAGTTTCAGGAAATGATATTTTCCCATCAGTGGATAGGCATGCATACATTAAAGGCATAAAAGGCAGCGGGAGGAGAAACAAAAGCTGTAAGCTAAGGATCCTGCACGTCTGAATTAACTAAATAGGGAAAAAAATGAAATCATTCTGCTTAAACCTGTTCACTAATAAAAGGAGAATGCTTTTGTTAAATATGCTTGGTGTGATTATCAAGCAAAATTTTCTTCTCCCAGGCATCTATGAATAAAACATGCGTTTGAGCACTAGGTAAACAAACAATAAATGGATGAGTTCAGTTACAACATAATAACATTTTATTTAGAAAACATATATAATCATATTTGTATTGGCAATCCAAATTTAATGACTTCTTTCAGTAAAATCAAAGTGCCTCACAAATAACATTTAATGCATAAGGATAGCTTATTCTTTGCCCTTTTTTTTCTGTTCTCTCAAAGAAACAGATTTTTAAGGTCTCTGCTAAACCATACATAAACTAGGTAAAATGTGTTTTTTTCCAGAAAAGATTTTCTTTTGAATCTTCTTAATTTTAGAATAGAGATGCTGTAAAAATAAATTAAAAAATACGTTTTTGAGATGGGGAAGAAAACATTTTTAGTCTATGTAGACTGGGCTGATTTGAACAAGATTCTGTGTGTAGCTGAACCAGTCTTTGGCTTATTAGCCATTTCATTAATACAACATCAACTTCTGCAAAATATGAATGAGAAGAAACCATTTACAATAAGAAAAGCAAACAACAGAATGAATTTCCTCTGTTGGTGTTTTGTAAGACTGTTAAACAGAAAATGGAGGGAAGAACTCTCTTTAGACGATATCACTTAATTAAGTAAAGCATCCTAATCAGAGTCCCCTCCAATTGTAATGACTGTAGGGAGTCAAGTACATTTCTGTCTATATTAGAGTATCTAACTGCAATGATTTATTGATATTTATTTTAGAAGTGCAACACAAAAGCAGTAAAACAGAGGAAGTAGGGAGAGAGGGAACATGCCATTGCTTACTGCAGTTACAACCAGAACACAACAAAATTCCTGATTTTTGTGTGGGAGGCTTTGCTTTCCAAAATCAGAGCCCACCTTTATAAGAGAATGTTCCTTTCCCTCATTTGATTTTTCCAAATGCTCACTGTGGTATTTCTTTGTCCATTAGATGAATCATTGATTCACTTTCTTCACTGCAAGAATCACTGCAAATGAGTGGATGAGCACCTGCTGTTTTCTGCAGTGACATTACTGGATTGCATTCTACACTGATTTCAGTCTTAAAATACAGCTTCTCTGTATGGGAGAGAGATTTGAGAAAGGAGAGTAAACATACTGTATAGGCAGACAGACATTGGCTGCCCTCCAAGTTGCACACAGCATAAACCTGTTTATCTGCTACATTTCACAGATCTCAAAAACATGTGAATAATCAGGAAAGCAACTGGATAAGTGATTCACACTAGGGAACCTAACCAATATTCTGATGAGAGAATGCTATGATGCTAAGATGTTGAAGCAAATAGGCTTACATTGTAGAAACTGCACATAGTAAAGTTGATTAGTGGTTCAAAGGAAAAAACAATCTGTACTAAAATGAATTTGAAGCAGTATCCCACCCTATGGTTTTGGTTTGGTATGTTTATGTGCAAGTTACCTGGATAATTGAGTTTAAATATATACTTTTATCCATACCATTCCAATAATTGGAGCCAGTATACATTGTCCTTCATGTTAGTTGTCAAGATACTTTATTTCTAGAGACCAAGATCTAAATATTGAGGGCTAGTGCCTTAAAACCCCAAATTATACCAATATATCTTATTTGAAATTAAATTACCAAACATGCTTTTTAAAAAGCAACTTTTCTTGGATGCCTACAGTCATTTTTTATTATTGTAGAAGATGAATTGTCTGATAGTAAATGAACTAGGCATGTGAGGCTCTCGTTGTTGCTATATCAGCGCTTTCTCTATTTTTCTCTTAATTTCTGTTGTTTCTTCCTCATTTGCTGATCATTTAATCTCCCTTTGCCTTATTCCCATGATTATTGTGCTTTAATATTTAGCTGTAAAGTAGAAACTCTAAAAGGTTTTGAGGCTAACCCCAAAAGTATACATTGGTTCGGAAAATTTCATGAGGTTGTTACTGAATTTTAGGCTTAAATCACTTCCATAAACCCAACCTAATTAATTACAGCAAGATGAATTATCAACTTGCTTGATATTTCTATCTATTCACTTATATGGCAGATCTGTCATCACAGGTCTATATACCAAGAAAATGTAAATTTTTCTACATTTGCAAACCCAAAATACTATTCCAGAAAGAAGAGCAGTAATACAACAAGGCAATTAAATACACACTGTACACCCTACAGCTTTCTTTTTCCTGCATTGCAGAAAGACAAATTGCTAAAGCTTTTTGATACCGGAAAACTTTGTTAAGTTATAGTAACCATAAACATCATCATCTTAGCAACAGAAAGTCTTGGAGAAGGTAGGTGACCTGGAAATTGATGTTCCAAACAATTTTCTGCTACATTTGAGCTTCTTCATTAAAGCTTTGCCTCAAGAAGGTATTGAGTCTACTGCCAATTGCATCTGCCAAATGCTTTTACTTTCCTTAACATTTTCTCATCTTCTCGCTTCTCATCTCAGGTTCTTTTTCTTCAGGATCAGACACAGAGACTGACTGAATGGCTCCAATTATCAGGATTTGAAAACCCAGTATCAGAATCTACCACTTTGTGTAAGTCTGCCCTAAGCAGTCTTTTCTTTAGCAACAGGACACTTGCATATTATGGGATCATCTTTTCTTCTTTACTTATCTCTGACCTTGTAAAATATGACAAAAACTTTTTCATGATTAATAAGTCCACTGCATGGGACATCTTGCAGGAAAGGCAACATAAGAACTAAAAAGCATTCCCTAAAAGATGTGTTCAGGTAAGTGACAGATGGAAGTTTGTGGATGGTCAAGGGTGTTACTAAAATTATTGACAACCTAATCATAGTCTGAAGACTTAACACATTGATTTTTATAATCACAGAAAATTATACTAGGACTTCTGTGTGAGTTGGGATTTGAATATATGCCCACAAAGCTGGAGTTGGTTCTGTGAACCTCAATTAAGGTCAACCATAGATTTTTTACTCGGCCAAGAAGAATCCTTTTAAAGTTTTTTTTAAATTGATAGCTACTCTGATTAAAAAATCATCACTAGGAGCTGGGCACAGTGACTCACCCCTGCAATCCCAGCACTTTGGGAGTCTGGGGTGGGCAGATCACCTGATATCAGGAGTTTGAGATCAGCCTGGCCAACAAGGTGAAACCCCGTCTCTACTAAAAATACAAAAATTAGTTGGGCGTGGTGACAGGTGCTTGTAATCCCAGCTACTTAGGAGGCTGAGGCGGGAGAATGGCTTGAACCCGGGACGCAGAGGTTGCAGTGAGCCCAGATTATGCCATTGTATTTCAGCCTGGGTGACAAGAGTGAAACTCCATCTCATAAAAAAAAAAAAAAGTAAAAAAAAAATCACTAGGGCTGGGCATAGTGATGCACACCTGTAATCTCAAAACTTTGGCAGGCCAAGGTGGGCAGATTGCTTTAGCCCAGGAGTTTAAAGCCAGCTTGGGCAACATAGTAAGACCCTGTCCCTACAAAAAATTAGTTGGGCATGGTGGTGCACACCTGTAGTCCCAGCTACTTGGGAGTCTGAAGTGGGAGGATCTCCTGAGCCTCAGAGGTTGAGGCTGCAGTGAGCTATGATTGTGCCATTGCACTGCAGCCTTGGTGACAGAGTAACACCCTGTCTCAAAAAAAAAAAATTCATAAACTCCTACATAATCTATATACCACAGGAGCCTTAGAAATAACATATGGGCTGCAAGTGAACTTTTTAATTCTCAAAGCAATATAAAAATTATACAAAGTTAAAAAAATAAAAAGTTATTCCTTCCTTTTCCTCCAGTCTCCTTAATCCCATTCTCCAGTGGTGACCATAATAGTCTCTCATCTATTTTTACCGATTTAAAAAAATTCATATGCAAGCACGTCATCTTTTAAATCACAAATAAAATCATACAATATAGTTACTATTTTAAACTTGTTTTTATTCACCTCAGTGTATGTGGCTGTTGTTTCATGCCCTACACATGGGTTTATCTCGTTCTTCTAGAGCTGCCAAAGATATTACATAACATACTATTATAGATATAACCACTACCATATTGAGAGACATTTACGTTGTTTTTATTTCTTTGCTTTTACAAATAATACTTCAGCAAACATACGTACGATTTTTTTTATTTTTCTATACATGTACTTGCAGAATTAACTCCTTGAAGTACAATTGCTAGATAAAAGCACATTTATAATTTTTGAATTATATTGCCACGTTATTGACATAAAAAGTTGTAACCATTTATTTTCACTGGCAGTTTTTGAGAGGTAAGGATTTTGACGAGGACTGACATGAGTTCTGTGTATGACACATCTGCCTTCTAGTCCATGTCTTCAAACTTGGCTAAACAGAGTTCAGTGGCAGCCAGGAGGCTTAGTGATGATCTAGCAGAAAGAATCTTCCTATGGCCTATGTGCCCAGTAACAGCTGTGGCTGGGAAGGAGCAGCCCTGGGATGAGGAGAGAAATAGCTAGGGAAATACAGCTGCCATCAGTGTAGGACCCGGCCTGAGTTTTCTCCAAGGCCACTTCCTAGAAGCCTTCCTGACAAAAATGGGGGCTGAAGAGCAAAACCAGGAGCCGTTCTCATAGATTGTCATGAGAGTAGAGAAGCAGCTACATTAGCACCACGTGTACCCTCACTTTCTCTGGCACACTCTCCGTCTCTGCTCAGATTCTAATCCAAGTGTGCATTTACCTTTTCTCCATAGCTTGTCTTGGCTTCTCAGGAAGTGCTATTCTCAGTCACCTGTGGCTGTTCATCAGCAGGCAGGAGTTCTCTAGGCTTCCTCTCCATTTTACCATTTAGCTTCTCTCTGCGTGATTAACCCAGAAAATTTGCCCGACATTGACCCAGTCCCCGGATTTGAAGAGACAGCCTCATCCTTGAAACTTTGACTCCTTATTCAATACTTTCATAAGTCCTATTTTCATCTTGAAATAGAAACTGGGAAGTGCCTCTTAATCTATACCTAGATCTCAGCCTTTATGTTGAGGGGTTACTTGAATGTTCTCAGGGTTACGGTTACATTAGAAGTTTGGTTTGTATTTAGCATTAACATGCTAGGCACTACGGTAGCCCTTGCAGGTGCAAAGATGAATGAAACACAGTTCATGCCTTCAGAAGTGTACCATAGTGAGGGAGACGCACTGACAAACACAAGCCACTCTGAGAAGCCTTAAAACAGAGGTATTTAATAAAAATTCTTCAAAGTCTCAATTCTGGAAATTTATCCTACAGAAATACCTGTGCACGTATAAGAGGACTTATAGATAAGTTGTTAACTGCAGCATTGTATGTTATGAGTAGAGTTAAGAAACCTCCTGTCAACAAGGACATTTTATGAGTCCTCAATGCTGACATGGAGTGATCTCTGGGATATATTTTATACGAGCAATCAAGTTGCAGAGCATTATGGTATATGTTGCTTTTTGTATAAAAAAATCTAGGACATAAAAATATGCATTAATGCTTGTATATACATAAAAACATTGGAAGAGCCCAGAAAAAAACAGGGCAAGTGCTAACTTATAGGGGCATCAGGGATTAGTGGGATGGATAGGAAAAGGGAATGTAATACAGCTTTTCAATGTCATTTTAATTCTTGAGCTATGTGACTGTATTATATAGTCAAATATATTATATTAAACACTTAAATGATAAAATGAGATTCACCCCTCCTCAACCTCTGCATTTTGTGAGGTGTTTGGAAGTACTTGGCTACATTTATCTGAGATAAAGATGTTTACAGGGACTGGACAAGGGAGGCTCCGAACAGGATGAAGAAACCTTCTTAGAGTCCACTGGATTTTTCTTACCACATCCGTAAATCTACTATCTCATGGAGATGATTTTGAGCAGAGCTAGGAGAAAGAATACTATTCTTTACAAAATTTTGAGAGATGGAATTTCTGGGTTTTTGTTTTGTTTTGTTTGAGATGGAGTCTCCCTCTTGTCACCCAGGCTGGAGTGCAGTGGCACGATCTTGGCTTACCACAACCTCTGCCTGCCAAATTCAAGCAATTCTCCTGCCTCAGCCTCCCAAGTAGCTGGGCCTATAGGCATGTGCCACCTTACCTGATTTTTTTTGTATTTTTTGTATTTTTTGTAGGGATGGGTTTTCGCCATTTTGGCTAGGCTGGTCTTGAACTCCTGACCTTAGGTGATCTGCCTGCCTTGGCCTCCCAAAGTGTTGGGATTACAGGCATGAGCCACAGCACCTAGCCTGGAATTTCTTATGAACAGGACACATGTAAAATATGGGAATAATTTCAGGAGTAGATTTCATTCTTTTAGTATCTTATAGGCAAGGCTGTGAGAATGGCCACCTCAGGTTTCCCATGATGATGTGGTAGGAAAGGCACAATTTACCTGTATCTTGAGTTTACCCACTGAAGTAATGAGGTTGATCAATGTGAAACTTTTCTTCTTAAAGCTTTATATAGGCTGGGCAGGGCAGCTCACACCTGTAATCCCAGCACTTTGGAAAGCCAATGTGGGAGAATCACTTGAGCTCAGGAATTAGAGATCAGCCTGGGCAACAAAGTGAGACCCTGTATCTATAAGAAATCAAAAACTTAGTGGGGTGTGGTGGTGCACACCTGTAGCTCTAGCTATTTGGAGGCAGAGGGAGGAGGATTGTTTGAGCCCAGGAGGTGGAGGCTGCAGTGAGCCATGCTTGGGCCATTGCACCGGTAGTAGAGCAAGACCCTGTCACACACATACACAGAGCTTTTAATGAAGGTCTCATACTGATTAATGAATGAGAGAAACTGGCTGCCTTACCGAAGAAATGCTTCTTTTTGTTAACAAAAATGTGTGCCATGTATTTTCTAGAACATCACACTAAAGTGATTTACAGATAGGTTGTGGGATTGAATTAGATCTTGAGAATTCTCTGGTGTCTTCCATAAACTGAAATTGGGAAGTTTTGAAGGAAGGTGTTAGAGAATAAATAACTTTTGAGGAAAAATGTTGATGATTATTTCATGATTATAATGTTAGAAGATTGTTAAAGAGTGATATAATCATCACATGAGCCACACAAGGGCATAGAAAGCCCCTGGTGGATGAGGGGGACTTTACCTCCCCATACATCTCTGCACCAAAGCTCATTAGTAGTACGACTGCCCTGACTTTCCAGCTCGTTTCAGTCCTTTTTGGCCAGAAGACTACACCCAGGAAGCATGGGGGTGGGTGAGCATGAAGGGGTAACTCCCTGCCTTCCATTTTACGTTTCTCTCATTTCTTCCTTCATCCCCCACAAATGTCATTTTGTCTTTCAGCTGGTCTCAAATCAGTCCTGTGGACAAGTCTGAAAAATCCTAGTGATTTAGAAATGAGACTTTCAGATATGATAAAGTCACCATATAACTTATGTAGTCTACACCTAGTATCTTGAAGCACTAGTGAGTCATTTTACTTTTATATGATCATCACACAAATTCAAACATGTTAAGCAAGTTATTGCTAGCAATCAGGACCGCTTGTTACATAACATCAGTAAGAGGGACTCAGGTGAGAAACAACTCTGATTATAGGCATTTAGCCCAAATGTACATCAGT